TGGGGTAACATGTTTGAAATGACAGCACACTGCTGCTTGTTGGCAGCCTGACTCACTTGACTTGTCTCACACACACCCAGGGGGGGAGAAAGAGGACACATTGACCCAGGAAAGAGTCTTCAAAACACAGGTAAAAACTGTGTTAAACAGTGGGGTAACATGTTTGAAATGACAGCACACTGCTGCTGGTTGGCAGGCTGACTCACTTGACTTGTCTCACACACACCCAGGGGGGGGAGAAAGAGGACACATTGACCCAGGAAAGAGTCTTCAAAACACAGGTAAAACTGTGTTAAACAGTGGGGTAACATGTTTGAAATGACAGCACACTGCTGCTTGTTGGCAGGTAAACATTGTTTAATTGTTTAAGTGTTTTTAAATGTATGGAACAGTGTTTTGTCTCTTTCAAAACTCTCCCGTCATTGGCCGGATACATGGGGACGATTTTATATTCACTATGACCGTTACTATTCCAGTGAGACGAAGTACGTCCGGTGACAGGAGTGATCCCATGTTAATTTTGTCCAAAAACCAGAGCATTCCCTTATCCGTTGTACCAACCATCGGAGAAGGGGAAAAATCGGCCTGAAGCGCCAATAGTCTGGCCCCTTCTCCCGTTGGCACTCTGTCATTTTTTTGACAATTTTTCAAAACTTCATTTTTGATTATTTTAAGTTATAATTAAGCGTTTTCTTCAATTTTTTTTGCTTTCCACGGGTGGGGGCGCCTGGCAGGCCGCCTATGAGCACCCAAATTCGGCCTGGATCATCCAGGATTTGTGGGCTAAGCTCCATAAACTGACTAAATCACCCAGAGAGGTCACCTTTCTAGCCCAAATATATATAATACAAATACATTTAAATAGTAAAAGGTGCACTTGTGCTCTGCATTACCCGGAATTTTATTTTCATAGCCCCATGATAGTGATTAAAAATCATTTTCATGGGAAAAAGTGTTAAAACGCCTGATTAAATTATATGCAGGACCCCAGTGAGCTCCAGACTATGTGCATTGTGTTGGGGAACCATATAAATGATAGAATAAATGCATTTAAATGCAAAAATAATGATTTTAAATCATTTTAGGGGGACAATTGTGGAGAGGAGCCTGAAAATGACTCTGCAGCAGGCTGCCTATGAGCACCCAAATTCGGCCTTCTTCACGGAACCACGACCCCTTCTGTGGAGGGTATTCTCGTGCCCCTGGTGAGCACACAATGACCCAGGAAAGAGTCTTCAAAACACAGGTAAAACTGTGTTAAACAGTGGGGTAACATGTTTGAAATGACAGCACACTGCTGCTTGTTGGCAGCCTGACTCACTTGACTTGTCTCACACACACCCAGGGGGGGAGAAAGAGGACACATTGACCCAGGAAAGAGTCTTCAAAACACAGGTAAAACTGTGTTAAACAGTGGGGTAACATGTTTGAAATGACAGCACACTGCTGCTTGTTGGCAGCCTGACTCACTTGACTTGTCTCACACACACCCAGGGGGGGAGAAAGAGGACACATTGGAGCACAGAATGACCCAGGAAAGAGTCTTCAAAACACAGGTAAAACTGTGTTAAACAGTGGGGTAACATGTTTGAAATGACAGCACACTGCTGCTTGTTGGCAGCCTGACTCACTTGACTTGTCTCACACACACCCAGGGGGGGAGAAAGAGGACACATTGACCCAGGAAAGAGTCTTCAAAACACAGGTAAAACTGTGTTAAACAGTGGGGTAACATGTTTGAAATGACAGCACACTGCTGCTTGTTGGCAGCCTGACTCACTTGACTTGTCTCACACACACCCAGGGGGGGAGAAAGAGGACACATTGACCCAGGAAAGAGTCTTCAAAACACAGGTAAAACTGTGTTAAACAGTGGGGTAACATGTTTGAAATGACAGCACACTGCTGCTGGTTGGCAGGCTGACTCACTTGACTTGTCTCACACACACCCAGGGGGGGGAGAAAGAGGACACATTGACCCAGGAAAGAGTCTTCAAAACACAGGTAAAACTGTGTTAAACAGTGGGGTAACATGTTTGAAATGACAGCACACTGCTGCTTGTTGGCAGGTAAACATTGTTTAATTGTTTAAGTGTTTTTAAATGTATGGAACAGTGTTTTGTCTCTTTCAAAACTCTCCCGTCATTGGCCGGATACATGGGGACGATTTTATATTCACTATGACCGTTACTATTCCAGTGAGACGAAGTACGTCCGGTGACAGGAGTGATCCCATGTTAATTTTGTCCAAAAACCAGAGCATTCCCTTATCCAGCAGTCTGTAGGTTTGTGTTCGCATATTTATGCTGTCGCAGTTCCTGTTGTTTCTATCGCGCATTGCCGGTATGAAAGGGTCTGTGCCGGAAATATCAAGATAACACGGCAGGGTCCGTTTCAGTTTGTTTTCATCTGATTTCAAATAAACAAAGTCTTGGCTTTCAGAATATTAAACTTGTTTCGGCAAATTTAGATGATAAATACAACTATGAAGCTTGTAACGGAATCTCATTGGCTGGTGTCAATTTCTGACAACGTGATTCGTTCAGATGCGTCACGTTGTGTGCTAAAGCACTTCCAGGTTAGCTTTCCGCTAGAAATTTAAATCTGAAAATGGCAAAATAACGGAGAAAAAAACGTTCACAGAGAAGACGACAACAATTGTCACTTGCACAAAGCAAGGTTATACAAAAAACAAATGACCCCGAACATGAAATACCTTCACGGAGTGCGTCGATGCGCAAGCTATCATCCAGATAACAGGAGGGTTTAGCTAGCGTCACCCTGCAATCTTTAAAGGTCGTTTTCTCAAAATGAGTTTTTTCTCCTACTCTGAGTTCGAAATTTCCACTTCAGTAGCAGTTACATACACCAAACCTTCCAGTTATATTCCTATCAATATTATGAAGGCTTTTACAGAAGGGTTTGGTCATATATAATTCATAGCCTGAATTATATAACATTTTATACCTAAAAACATGGTGAAAATTGATATTTTAGGGCTGTTGACAGTATTTTCTGATTTATGGAGTGATACAAAGAGATATCCAAAATCCCTTCTGTAAAAGCCTTAGATACTAATATGACTACAAAATGAAACAATAATTTTGCTCCTGGCTTTATCCAAAGTTCAGATTTCGGTTCCTGAAATGTGTTCAAATGTGCGCATATTTCATGAGATAATGGTTCATTTGCATATTTAAACATGCTATTTCAGAAAACTTGTAATACAAAAAACAATTGCCATATTGTAAGTAATTAACTGGAGAAATTTTAGCTGATATCTTTAAGTTAAAAAAATTACCCTATTCACCTGGGGTGTCTCGCCTTAAAGCCTATTGTATACTAACTCTTCCCGTCAAGAATATGAATAGAACTTAGATAGATCACTTCTGCGAATGAATAGCTAAAAATATGTATTTCTTAATAAACTAAATAGGCCACCATTGGTAGCAGTTTATATACTTCTCAGTAACTGCTCCCCTTAAATTAAATGTATTCTGTAGATTTTGGGGATTCATTAATGCATTTATTGCCATCACCATGCTTTTTCAAGACTCTTTTAAATTCTATCATTTTATAAGGACTTTTCAATGTTCGACATCGCGTGAAACAGAGGATTAATTTCGACATTCTGTATTCCTTGCTTACTTCCTTAAACCTTTTCTCCTCCTTATCTCTTTCATAACTTTTTTTTTAATGCCGGTGTTTATTTTATTATTATATATAGTCGTTATTCATTTGTTTTAAAGCTCAATAAGGAAGATTTAAACTTTCACACACGTTGACCGGCGAAAAACTCTGGCCGGTTCCTTCGGCCCCCACCACGTTGAATAAACAGAAGGCTGCTTTTGTGGAGGAAGTACTGTATGTTGATTTTTGACATGTAAATGGGTACCTACCCCCCTCTGAGTGAATACCTGTTGTACCTGTCCGGGGCTAAGCCCATAGGACGATGCTCTGATGTCATCACCCTCGCACATTTGTCATATGTTTACAAAAAACGATGTTAACACTTTCTCGTTCTTAATATATGCTATATTTAGGGTCGATATGTGTTGAATTTACTTTAAAATAGCAGATCACTGTGATTCGGCTTAGTGAACGTGTGTCTCTTCTCCGCGGCTCCTCCGTGCAGAGAGGCCCCCCCCGTTGACAATTCACGAGCGTCTAACTCTCTCCCCCCTCCCCCGTCGCACCTTCTAACAGAGCCCCCCCACATATCAAATCCCAATTTAACCCCTGGCCTCTGGAGCAGAAATGAAAGAGTTTTAAAAATGTTTACGTTTTGGTATGTTTTTAGGGAAATGTTGTAATATTGCAACGTTGGCCTTAGGTGGGAGCAGAATTTCTGTATTTCTACTCACATTGTCTGAATAAATATATTAAACAACTAAGGGTTCATTTGCAGGATTGATTGCTTACTTAGCCCTATATCAGTATATAGCATGAATAATAATCACACATCACTCATATTTGTTATGAATAATCATTTATCATTTATTAAATAGTAAGTCGCTTTGGATAAAAGCGTCAGCTAAATGCAATTTATGAAAGCCTCACTCAGGATTTTTTTAACAAGTGTTTTTATTGCTCTTGGGGCATTAAAAACAAGATTTTAACTTTAGTTTTTTATATAATATCTGCATTTTCTCTTGTGAAAAACTAAGTCTTAGTTTGGCCATAGTTATTTAATATATAGCGCCATCTCCTGGTTAAACCCTGAAATTGGAAAATAGTGGGAGGGCTTAACATTCCCGGATACTGGTCTTTGGCAGGTCTTAGGCAGGTAACTGGCTGGTAGTAGGCAGGAAGCTGTATGCTGGCGTCCGAAATAAGATGCCCCATCTGTAAAGGAATGAACAAAAGGAGAAACTGCTGTCTTTCAGTGGACCACAAAGGTCGACCTGTTTTTATTGAATTTAACTCGATACACAGTTACATGTGATTAAAAAGGATAACATGTTTAAATGATAAAGACAACAAGCTGAATTAGAGGAAACATGTGAGGAAACCTAAAAACATTCTACACATTTCTATATCTGAGGAAACACACATCATTATAATATGCAAACATGATAACATCTAGGTTAGAGATAGGAGGCTAATAAACTCTGGGCCTTTTCTGAGGTTAACTTTCAGTATCAGTGGCACAGACACACATGATGAATTACGTTGAACAGATGATTTAAAATAAAATCCCTTTTACACAGGAGACAACATCTAAGGGTTCTGACTTTAAGTCTTTAGGTATACATGAATAATATTTATGATATCAAAACAATACATCTGCTGATTAAACTTGACCAAACAATCATCATCATCGTCATCGTCATCATCATCATCATCATCGTCATCATCATCGTCATCGTCGTCGTCGCCGTCACCGTCGTCATCGCCATCGCCATCGCCATCGCCATCGTCGTCGTCGTCATCATCGTCATCGTCATCGTCATCGTCATCGTCATCGTCATCATCGCCATCACCATCGCCATCGTCATCGTCATCATCATCATCATCACCATCGTCATCGTCATCATCATCATCATCATCATCATCATCTATTCGTGTTGTTCTCCCCTCACAGAGATCTTCACTGGGAGAATCTGCAGTTCATCCCCAGTGTTAATGTATGGAAACAGCCTCTCAGTGAAAGTGTGTGTGAAGGTGTGTATGTGTGTGTTAGTCTCAGGATCAGAGAACGTCAAGGTTCCTCCGTCCCAGTCCAGATCCACTCTGACCCTCTGGAGCTCCTTCTGAAATGGGAGAACAACACTTCGATGTAGTGAGGAGTCTGCAGAGTATTCACCATCGCAGAACCACATTGTCCATAACCCAGACTCAAAGTCTCCCTTCCTGATCCTATCAACAGACTCTGCTAACACTCCCAGTTCCCAGTATCCACTGTCCCCGACCTGGACGTCCCAGCTGTGAGTCCCTGAGGCAAAGCCCTCAGAGCCCAGGACAGAGAAATATAAACCATTAAGCCTCTCTGGATTATTAGGAAGTTCCTGTTCCTCCTCTCCTGCTCTCACAGAGGTCAGACCTTCAGACACGATGAGGTTTGAACCGGCAGTGTTTGGGTCCAGGATCACAGGGCAATAGGACACCATGTCCTTCATCTTGCTCCAGATGTTGAAGCTGAGGTTGCCCAGGTGTTTGGCCTGGTCTATCAGAGCTCCTGAGGGCAGCTGTGGATCCTCCAGCAGGGGGCGCTGCAGCCTCTCCACTGCAGCCTTGTAGTTGTTCAGGAAGGAGACGTCTTCAGCTCTCAGCTCCTCCTCTGTGGCTCTGACTGTGTGTGAAAGAGCTGCTATCTCTCTGCTCACAGCCTCCATCTTCTTCTTCATCATCTTCCTCTTCTGCTCCTCTTCCTCCCTCAGTGCAGCCATCCTGGCCTCCTCTTCCTCTTCTAGAAACTGGTGAAGCTTCTTAAACTGCTCCTTAATCTGCGTCTCTGTGTGTCGAGCCTGGACCTTCAGGTGTCCTGTTGTTTGATCAAAGTCCACTTGAACTTCCTCAAAGAGCTTCAGTTTCTTCTTGAAGGGCTGCAGAGACTTCTGGAGCTTCTCTCTGAGATCCTGAGCAGCTTCATCGATGGGTCTGAATCTGTGGTTGTTGTGTGTTCTTGAATCTCTGCAGACGACACACACTGGCTGCTGATGGTCCAGACAGAAGAGTCTGAGTCTCTCAGAGTGCAGACTGCAGAGAGCCTCTGGAGATCTGTGATCTCTCTCCTGTAAGAAACTCTCACACAGGTTCTTTAGCACCAGGTTAGAAGGAGGCTCTGACCGTGAAGATCGTCTCTTACAAAGTGGACACTCTTTGATCACTTTCCCCGTCCACCAGCTCTGCAGACAGTCTCTACAGAAGCTGTGGCTGCAGGACAGGACGACAGGATCTTTAAAGACTCCATGGCAGACAGAACAGCAGATATCTTCCTCTAATCTGGAAGCCATTTATTCTCCGAGTGAAGCAGAAACCCAGCAGCAGCCGCTCCCTGAAAGTTACTTCCTCTTTGACTTCTGGTAACACTCTGGTTCAGTGTGGATTCAGCAGCTGCTGGAAGTGGAAGTATTCCAGTTTCCCTCCTGTAGCCGGCCTCTCTCAGGGGAAGTGCTGCTTTCAGTCTAAAGGTGACTCTTATTGTCCGTCTCTCTGTGAGTGAGTGTGTGTGTGTGTGTGTGTGTGTGTGTGTGTGTGTGTGTGTGTGTGTGTGTGTGTGTGTGTGTGTGTGTGTGTGTGTGTGTGTGTGTGTGTGTGTGTGTGTGTGTGTGTGTGTGTGTGTGTGTGTGTGTGTGTGTGTGTGTCAGCAAGTACACAACACGCCCACCTGACGACACTACGGTGGCTGAGAGACGTTGATACCGTACATGGCAGATTAAAAACGAATTGCAAATGTTATTGTAGCATTTTAAGCAACTATTAGGCAAAAATAATTAATAATCTAGTCTATCCGTTTGAAACACAACAGTATATGACTTTAAGCACAAATCATTTTGTCTAATTAATAAATTAAAACAAAAAGGGGGCTGAGTAAACTTTATTTTTTAGTACACATAAAATAGGTAATAATGAGATCTATTAATTATGTTTGTCTAACTGCTACACATGCATTTATACATACATGTAGATATTTATGAACATCTAAATATAGTTGTTAAAGGTTTTAAGATATAAATAATCACATCATGGGGTCATTAAGGTTTCAAACAGGTTCATGTGAGGTAGGCCTACTATAACATGAAAACATGAGCCTGTAGTCTGGTCTGTTATTGATATGGGCTGGACACCCCTTCACAGCGATCATCATTGACTTTCTTTAGACCAAATTAGGAGGGCCAGTCAGGCCACTAATGAGCTCAATCATTCACATGTATTATTACTTTATAAATTAAGAGTACTAGGGGTCTATTTCAAAACCTTTGAAGGAATCGTCATGCATTCTGAATGTTTCTGTACTTTAAAAACATCATGGCTCAAGATCCTGTTCTTGTTCAAGATGATTCACTCATTTGTGAATTTAACATCCATATTCACTCAAAGCTGAAACAACCTGAAAGCATTGCAGGCCTAAAGCTCCTCGTCAGTGACCTATATTTAATTTCTTCCATCAAACTTTAAAAATGGCAAACAGCATGTTTTTAAAGATTTAATCTTTTAAGAAACAAAAAATCAACTTTGAACAGAAAGGTTTAAAAACACGTTTTGAATGCAAATAAACTTGAAACATAAACCTATTTGTCATTTCAGAATTCACTTGTATTGTCTGCGTGAAAGGCACAGTAGGCTATGAGCGAATACATATCAACATTCAAAAATGACAAAGTCGTACCATATATACCATGTGCTACTGTCTAGGACTAAGTATGGTGAGACTTTTCAGAGACCCCCAACATAACAGTGCCAGAGACTGGCGACCCGACGGGATCGTGATCTCCAGTGTGCTGGGCAGTGTGGCGGCGGAGGGAGCCCAGGGCACCACCGGAGGAGAGGCGAGCGATGACCGCAGCATCACCGTGGTGCAGATAGGGCAGAACGGGGAGTACCTGGCCCGCCCCCCGCACAGACTGAGGGGACTTGTTACACGGAGCCCATCACCGGGGAAGCTGCCGGACCGAGAGTTTGATCCTGCCTGCGGCGGCAGAAGGCGGTCTACTCGGCCTGCCCTTGGCTCTGGGGTCCCTCCTTAAACAAATAAATAAAAACCTTTTAAATGAAACGTTCATCTTAACAGATAAGATTTGATCATTTATTTTAAACGTCAGGCCTACAGCATGGCCACAAACCCCATCTACAAACAGAGGCTCTGTCCTCATTACCTGATTGCATCCACCTGGGTTACTTGGCTCAACCCAATAACTTTATATAAGTTTACTTTAAACCACAATTAAAATAATATAATTATACATATGTAGGCCAACATGTCTACAGTATAGCAACTAATACATGTTTTAAATAAATAAACATTCAAATGTGAAAGACTCCTTCAATGAATATTTAAAACTTACACAAAATCAGATTCTTGTAAAGATTAGAGTACAGTTCCATCTGTCAAGCTAAGCAACACACTCTCACTCCATAAGCGTCCAGGAGCGACGCTTGGTCAGGGTCCCGAGGCGTGCAGTTGGGACGCTCCTAGGCTCCTTCAGCTTCATAAACAGACGCACATAGCTTTCAACTGATTGCAATGTATTCCCATCGGCGGCGGGATTTGACGCTCAGGGAAGCACGGCATTCGTTTGCGTGGGAGGCTGTTAAAGGCAATGTGAGCGTCCATTCCCATTGGATAACGGAGAATTGTACACCCGGAAGTAAGTATTCCCCTTACTGTCGATTGATTTGACAGTGATATCTCCACTACTCATCAACTCAAAAACACCAGATTATCTTGTTAATTAAACGACATTGATAGGTTTTAGTGTGTGTTCAATGCTTTTGTCACGTTTTCCCCTTCAATTCTGAGAAACAAGTTGTTTTCTATGAGTTTTGGATGGCCGAAGACATTACATTACCCACAATCCTCTGTAGCAACCATAGACTGTATAAAACAATTAAATAATACATTATTCCGAGTGTGCTTGCTTTTCTCTTTGAAAGTCATCACATAACTGCATTGTAATACACGTTTCGGCTGCATTAAATATGACATATCTGCCGTAGTTAACTCTATGTATAGAGCCCTGATGACAAGACTTCTAGACAAACAGGAACTGCCGCCAAAACTGAAAACTTGACGTGGATCTTAAATATATAAGCAATTAAACAACATCTTACATTTCTTTTCACACAATACGTCTCCTTGCAGTATCAACACTAATTCGGCTGACTTTTATATTTGATCCAATTGGTAGATAGGCTGTATTTACGCCATAACGGTGCACAGCTGATAGAAAGGGACACCTACTGGTTAAAGCACGTTATTGCATTTTATACGTCCTCCGTTTTGTTATATTATTATAGGCCTATAGAGTCGTTATTCATTTGTTTTAAAGCTCAATAAATAACAAAGAAGACCTTTGACCGGCACTTTTCTAATTTTGTCCAGAAGATTTAAACTTTAACGGACATCTTGACCGGCGAAAGAAACTGAAACTGAAACTCTGCGGCACGGTCCCCTCGTTCCTTGGAAGAGGCGGAGAGGTGGGTGTTTGTCATCTGCTGGTGGACTAACCGGAGAGAATTACAGTGCTTGCCTCGACGGGGAGGGATTGCATTGAATTAAAGCAGCGGGAGCAAACGCTTGCCTCGGGGAGGGAGAAAGAAAGCCACACTTTTGTGGCAGACTACAGCGCCACTTACAGGCCTGGCATATGTACTACAGCGTCTCCAGCGCTTTCGAGCGGCAATGGCCGGCCGTGGCCCAACCCCACATTCCCCTGATTGGTGGAGTTGGCCCAATAGCCGTAGCGCCACTTTACTGACGTCAGGAAAGTGTTCAAATCTGGATCAGTTTTGATCAGATCCGTTGCAGCCCCTTTTTTAGAGATTTGGGTATGGAGGAAAATAGAGAGGGTTGTGTTTTCTGACACTTGGTGAGTTCCCTGGAACACCGGGGACACATATTCATGTAGAAAAGACGTACACAAGTGCATTTTGCATGATAGGTCCCCTTTAAGTAAATTCTATTAATTTCCGATTTATTTATTTTTATTTACCAAATTAATTTCCCAATTTCACTCGAATATCAAAACATTTATGATTGTTTCTGTTTTTGTGTGTACAACCCTCTCCCCCAGCTCCTTTGTCACATGTGTTTTAACCCACATTACTCGTCAGTGTGTGTGCATGGAGGAGATGTGTATGAGTATTTCCTGTTGCAGTGCACTGTGTGATGTAGTTCTGTTCTCCACCAGGTGGGGGAGCTCTACCCTGCAGGAGGCGATCAGAAACTATAGAGACGCTGCAGTCCATCTGCTGCAGGACCCCAGCTGGGACCAAAACCTCCATAAAGTCTGGGACCAAAACCTCTATCTGAGACCAAAAAATCTATCTGAGACCAAAAAATCTATCTGAGACCAAAACCTTTATCTGTGACCAAAACCTCTATACAGTCTGAGACCAAAACCTCTATCTGACACCAAAACCAACCTTTTTTAGGGTGAGGGCTACTTTTAAAAAATAAAACAAGTCGGGGGCTACTTTTACTCCTCTTTTCTTTTCTTTTTTGCAGTGTATATATTTAGCACATTTTAACATTATGATATGCTGACCTTTAACCTTTGTTTGCTGTTTGGGTCTGTGGGACCGCTTTCAGTGTTTACTAAAAGAACATGTATGCAATCTAATTATTTTAACCTGCTTTATTTGGGGGTGGACGGGCCTCACCTCCTCCAGGGGGGTCCTCACCTCCTCCAGGGGGGTCCTAACCTCCTCCAGGGGGGTCCTCACCTCCTCCAGGGGGGACCTCACATCCTCTAGGGGGGTCCGGGGGCATGCACCCCCGGGAAGATTATTTTTGAATGTTGAAGTGAAATGCATCAATCTGGAGCGCTCTGAGCCCCAGATGAATTGATGGAAACAGCTCTCAACACTCAGATGAAAGAGAGCTGTATACTTTTCAATAATCCAAACATCTTTAGAATATGATCACAACCAATAACAAATCATTTAAACTGGTTTATTCTTATCTTATGTTACCTATAGCATGCTTTCTTTCTTTTTATTTATGTTTATTTTACTAATCACTCCCCTTTCAAACTGTTTTTTGGTTTTTTTACTGTCCTATAGTACACATTGGAATGATTTATTACTTTATCTATATTAAATAGATAAAGGTGTGCTCTCCCTAGCTCTCTCTCTCTCTCTCTCTCCCTAGCTCTCTCTCTCTCTCTCTCTCCCTAGCTCTCTCTCTCTCTCTCTCTCCTTACTAGCATCTCTCCTCTCTCTCTCTCTCTTCTCCCTCTCTCCCTAGCTCTCTCTCTCTCCCTCCCTCCCTCCCTAGCTCTCTCTCTCTCTCTCTCTCTCTCTCTCTCTCTCTCTCTCTCTCTCTCATCTCTCTTCCTCTCATCCCCCCTCGCTCTCTCTCTCTGTCGTCACTCGCTCACAGAAGGGGGAGGGATGTCCTGTGTGCTCCTCCGTGGCGATGACGTCTGCGTTAAAAATAATAATAAACATATTTGTAAAGTGGGGGGACACAAACGGGATTTCGAAAAGAGCGGGGGACATTTCCCCCCTGTCCCAGGTGGAAATTACGCCATGCGTGTGTGCGTCAAGTGCAATAAATATATATGCAAGTTGCAACACACACAGTAAAACTCTGCCCTATGTGGCACCTCCCCGCTGATTTTCCTTCTGGCAGAATCTACACAACACATCAGCCCCATTGAACAGCCTATCATGCCAGCCTATACAGCACATGTGGCCCACATTGCTTTTCTTCCAGACTGCAACGCTGGTCCCGCAAATCAAGCAAGAACGTGATTGGTCGATATTCATTGTGGGGGTGGGGGGAGGAGGGGTGTTAGATAGATATAGAGTTGTAGTAAGTAGATAGAGTTCGCTATGATTGAGGTTTCGTTTATGCATAGGGTAGATTCTTTTAATTACATTTCCATTTTTGTTTTGTGTATTTTATACATTTTGGATTTGCTTGGCGAGCTATTTTTAGAACATGCCCCGCGGGCGACTCACGTTGCCCCTGCGGGTGACCAAGTGCCCGCGGGCACCGTGTTGGCTACCCCTGCTCCATACAGTCTGAGACCAAAACCTCTATCTGATACAAAAACCTCTATACAGTCTGAGACCAAAACCTCTATCTGACACCAAAACCTCTATACAGTCTGAGACCAAAACCTCTATACAGTCTGAGACCAAAACCTCTATCTGAGACCAAAACCTCTATACAGTCTGAGACCAAAACCTCTATACAGTCTGAGACCAAAACCTCTATCTGAGACCAAAACCTCTATACAGTCTGAGACCAAAACCTCTATACAGTCTGAGACCAAAACCTCTATCTGAGACCAAAACCTCTATACAGTCTGAGACCAAAAATTCTAAAAAATAAATAAAAATTGTATAAACGATTAAATAAATTATACTAAATAAATAAAAATGTGAATCCATTAAATGAAATGAGCAGCAGCTGGAAAATGCAAAAATAAATAAATAGTATTTAATAAATAAAAAGCTTTATTATTATTTCAGTTCAGTAGTTTCATGCAGAATATACATAAGCATTAAGCAGCTGGTAAAGATGATGGAGCCTTATATACATTTATATATATATATATTTATATATATATTTGTTTTATTGTTATATTTTACAATATATATATATAAACTTGTTGTTGTTCAGCTTCTTTGTTTCTCCTTTTTTTAATTATTAATAAAGGTTATTTTACTTCTCCCACTGTTGAATAATAAAACATTTAACGTCTTTCAAAATTATATTATTTTTCCTGCTGTAACTCCTGTTTCCGTCTGAACCAATCACCATCTGGGAGTCAAGCTGGAACCAATCACCGTCTGGGAGTCAAGCTGGAACCAATCACGGTCTGGGAGTCAAGCTGGAACCAATCAGCGTCTGGGAGTCAAGCTGGAACCAATCACCATCTGGGAGTCAAGCTGGAACCAATCAGCGTCTGGGAGTCAAGCTGGAACCAATCACCATCTGGGAGTCAAGCTGGAACCAATCAGCGTCTGGGAGTCAAGCTGGAACCAATCACCGTCTGGGAGTCAAGCTGGAACCAATCACCATCTGGGAGTCAAGCTGGAACCAATCACCGTCTGGGAGTCAAGCTGGAACCAATCAGCGTCTGGGAGTCAAGCTGGAACCAATCACCGTCTGGGAGTCAAGCTGGAACCAATCACCGTCTGGGAGTCAAGCTGGAACCAATCACAGTCTGGGAGTCAAGCTGGAACCAATCACCATCTGGGAGTCAAGCTGGAACCAATCACAGTCTGGGAGTCAAGCTGGAACCAATCAGCGTCTGGGAGTCAAGCTGGAACCAATCAGCGTCTTGGAGTCAAGCTGGAACCAATCAGCGTCTGGGAGTCAAGCTGGAACCAATCAGCGTCTGGGAGTCAAGCTGGAACCAATCACAGTCTGGGAGTCAAGCTGGAACCAATCAGCGTCTGGGAGTCAAGCTGGAACCAATCAGCGTCTGGGAGTCAAGCTGGAACCAATCAGCGTCTGGGAGTCAAGCTGGAACCAATCAGCGTCTGGGAGTCAAGCTGGAACCAATCAGCATCTGGGAGTCAAGCTGGAACCAATCACCATCTGGGAGTCAAGCTGGAACCAATCAGCGTCTGGGAGTCAAGCTGGAACCAATCAGCGTCTGGGAGTCAAGCTGGAACCAATCACCGTCTGGGAGTCAAGCTGGAACCAATCAGCGTCTGGGAGTCAAGCTGGAACCAATCAGCGTCTGGGAGTCAAGCTGGAACCAATCACAGTCTGGGAGTCAAGCCGGAACCAATCACAGTCTGGGAGTCAAGCTGGAACCAATCACAGTCTGGGAGTCAAGCTGGAACCAATCAGCGTCTGGGAGTCAAGCTGGAACCAATCAGCGTCTGGGAGTCAAGCTGGAACCAATCACAGTCTGGGAGTCAAGCTGGAACCAATCAGCGTCTGGGAGTCAAGCTGGAACCAATCAGCGTCTGGGAGTCAAGCTGGAACCAATCAGCGTCTGGGAGTCAAGCTGGAACCAATCACCATCTGGGAGTCAAGCTGGAACCAATCACAGTCTGGGAGTCAAGCTGGAACCAATCACAGTCTGGGAGACAAGCTGGAACCAATCAGCGTCTGGGAGTCAAGCTGGAACCAATCAGCGTCTGGGAGTCAAGCTGGAACCAATCACAGTCTGGGAGTCAAGCTGGAACCAATCACCATCTGGGAGTCAAGCTGGAACCAATCACCGTCTGGGAGTCAAGCTGGAACCAATCACAGTCTGGGAGTCAAGCTGGAACCAATCACAGTCTGGGAGTCAAGCTGGAACCAATCACAGTCTGGGAGTCAAGCTGGAACCAATCAGCGTCTGGGAGTCAAGCTGGAACCAATCAGCGTCTGGGAGTCAAGCTGGAACCAATCAGCATCTGGGAGTCAAGCTGGAACCAGAGCTGTACCGGAAGTCACAATAAAAGACCAACACGTAACTTCAGGAATTTTTTTTATTTAATTTTTGTAATTCACTAAATATGGTTTTCCCTCTGCATGGTGTACGAGTGACTGAGATATGAACATAGACATACAAATAATAAAAATAATAACAATAAGTATAGTAACAATAACAATAATAATAATAACAAAAACCATTATGATAACAAATATACAATATTTAAATAATAGTGTAAAGCTGTATGATTTATTAAGACAGTTTGTTTGACTGAAGCTATTTAGAGAAGTAGTTTAAACTACAAAAGAATAATCCCATTTAATTGTACAAATGTACAACAAAATATAATATAATATACTAAATTGCTTAAGTAGCAAACAGCTAAATAAAAAAAAGATAATGTTTAACTTTGAAAACTCAATCTGGACTTTTACTTTGAAGGATGTAACCGGAAGTGTGTGTAGGCAGCATCGGTCGCTTGTTCAGCAGCCTGTTGATCAAGCCGCGGGTTGTCTCATGAAGAGCCGGGAATGTCAGAGGAACAGTCTCTCTGTGCACAACAAACACAACCAAACAAACTGTTTACTTTTAGTGTTTATTTTTATTTGTTTCCTCTGTCTGGAAGTTGGACCGATGTGTGAGCAGAATGTTAGCCGGAGATGAGGCGCTGCAGTCGGCGTTGAGCTGCGTGTCGACCCGCTCGGTCCCCGCCGGTGCTTTATTCATCATCCAGCACTGAGGCGAATCTGCAGAAGTGAGTTCACACACACACACACACACACACACACACACACACACACACACACACACACACACACACACACACACACACACACACACACACACACACACACACACACACACACACACACACACACACACACACACACACACACACACACACACACACACACACACACACACACGAAAGCAGACGTGCACTCAGTCATTTCAAACAGTTTGTCTGGGTTTTTCTAGTTATACCAGTTCTTCTGCAGACCCTCAGGAGTAGAGACACTACATACTGATATACACCTGGAAAAGTCATGGAAATTCAAAATGCTAATTCCAGGCCCTGGAAAAGTTATGGAAAACAATATTTTTCCCAAAGTTTTGGAAAAGTCATGGAAATGTAACTAAAGTTGCATCAAATATAATTTATATTTGAGCTAATCGCCGAAATAGTAATACTATAATGATAATACATACTGTATCGTATAGTAATGAAACGTAAAAGGGCATTTAACTGTCGAGGTGTTTTGCTGGTGTGAGATTTTAGTGGCTTTAGCGTGTAGAAGCTAGTAAGCCAACTATTGGATTTGTTTTAGATAGGCACAACATGTTTCATATGCAGACCTTATTTTCCTGTTCCATGTTCAAATAAACCATTTTCAGTGATACCGCTGAGAAAGAGTCATTTTATTGGTCATGGAAAATTAGGTAAAGGTCATGGAAACGTCATTGAAAATCATTGGTGAAAAAGTGTATGAACCCTGACACACACACACACACACACACACACACACACACACACACACACACACACACACACACACACACACACACACACACACACACACACACACACGAAAGCAGACGTGCACTCAGTCATTTCAAACAGTTTGTCTGGGTTTTTCTAGTTATACCAGTTCTTCTGCAGACCCTCAGGAGTAGAGACACTACATACTGATATACACCTGAACATCAGCAGGAGAGGACTCTTTAAAGTAGAGACACTACATACTGATATACACCCGAACATCAGCAGGAGAGGACTCTTTAAAGTAGAGACACTACATACTGATATACACCTGAACATCAGCGGGAGAGGACTCTTTAAAGTAGAGACACTACATACTGATATACACCTGAACATCAGCAGGAGAGGACTCTTTAAAGTAGAGACACTACATACTGATATACACCCGAACATCAGCAGGAGAGGACTCTTTAAAGTAGAGACACCACATACTGATATACACCTGAACATCAACAGGAGAGGACTCTTTAAAGTAGAGACACTACATACTGATATACACCTGAACATCAGCAGGAGAGGACTCTTTAAAGTAGAGACACTACATACTGATATACACCTGAACATCAGCAGGAGAGGACTCTTTAAAGTAGAGACACTACATACTGATATACACCTGAACATCAGCAGGAGAGGACTCTTTAAAGTAGAGACACTACATACTGATATACACCTGAACATCAGCAGGAGAGGACTCTTTAAAGTAGAGACAGTACATACTGATATACACCTGAACATCAGCAGGAGAGGACTCTTTAAAGTAGAGACAGTACATACTGGTTGATCTGAAAAAAGGCTTGTCTGAAATGTCATTGTATATTAATTAACAGAAACGGTAGAATATGTTTGTTTTCTGCTGCTGTTCAGAGTAATGAACAAACCCCTCCCTCTCTTTCTGTTTGTAATTGCCTTAGCCTCTTTAAATACTTTCTCATGACAGGGGGCTGCTGTTTGAGGATTAGCCACATGCTAACACTTACACACAAACAGTGCACTCAGGTTCAGAGCCGCGCTTCACACTGTTTACTTTCACTTTGAATGAACAGTCTAAGTTAGATTTGGGAAAACACCTGAGGTCAGGGTTAGTCAGAAACAGCATTTAACCTCTGACCTGTTGGGAATATGTGTTTTCTGAGTGAGAGTCGAAATATCTGAGACACCAATAACATTTTGGAGCCAAGCAACATTTCTCCAGAACATCCTGTCACTTAGATGGCATTTTTCAGACGGAGAAATCAGGAAGAAATTAGTTTTAATCGAGACTCGGTTACATCACTGTGCGTCAAACTGTGTCCACATTTTACATAATATGATCGTTTTCAGGTTCCTTTAGCGTCTCTACTTTAAAGAGTCCTCTCCTGCTGATGTTCAGGTGTATATCAGTATGTAGTGTCTCTACTTTAAAGAGTCCTCTCCTGCTGATGTTCAGGTGTATATCAGTATGTAGTGTCTCTACTTTAAAGAGTCCTCTCCTGCTGATGTTCAGGTGTATATCAGTATGTAGTGTCTCTACTTTAAAGAGTCCTCTCCTGCTGATGTTCAGGTGTATATCAGTATGTAGTGTCTCTACTTTAAAGAGTCCTCTCCTGCTGATGTTCAGGTGTATATCAGTATGTAGTGTCTCTACTTTAAAGAGTCCTCTCCTGCTGATGTTCAGGTGTATATCAGTATGTAGTGTCTCTACTTTAAAGAGTCCTCTCCTGCTGATGTTCAGGTGTATATCAGTATGTAGTGTCTCTACTTTAAAGAGTCCTCTCCTGCTGATGTTCAGGTGTATATCAGTATGTAGTGTCTCTACTTTAAAGAGTCCTCTCCTGCTGATGTTCAGATGTATATCAGTATGTAGTGTCTCTACTTTAAAGAGTCCTCTCCTGCTGATGTTCAGGTGTATATCAGTATGTTGTGTGTCTACTTTAAAGAGTCCTCTCCTGCTGATGTTCAGGTGTATATCAGTACGTAGTGTCTCTACTTTAAAGAGTCCTCTCCTGCTGATGTTCAGGTGTATATCAGTATGTAGTGTCTCTACTTTAAAGAGTCCTCTCCTGCTGATGTTCAGGTGTATATCAGTATGTAGTGTCTCTACTTTAAAGAGTCCTCTCCTGCTGATGTTCAGGTGTATATCAGTATGTAGTGTCTCTACTTTAAAGAGTCCTCTCCTGCTGATGTTCAGGTGTATATCAGTATGTAGTGTCTCTACTTTAAAGAGTCCTCTCCTGCTGATGTGCATGTGTTTATCAGTATGTAGTGTCTCCACTTTAAAGAGTCCTCTCCTGCTGATGTTCAGGTGAATATCAGTATGTAGTGTCTCTACTTTAAAGAGTCCTCTCCTGCTGATGTTCAGGTGTATATCGGTATGTAGTGTCTCTACTTTAAAGAGTCCTCTCCTGCTGATGTTCAGGTGTATATCAGTATGTAGTGTCTCTACTTTAAAGTGTGTGTGTGTGTGTGTGTGTGGTGGTGTGTGTGTGTGTGTGTGTGTGTGTGGTGTGTGTGTGTGTGTGTGTGTGTGTGGTGTGTGTGTGTGTGTGTGTGTGTGTGTGTGTGTGTGTGTGTGTGTGTGTGTGGTGTGTGTGTGTGTGTGTGTGTGTGTGTGTGTGTGTGTGTGTGTGTGTGTGTGTGTGTGTGTGTGTGTACACACTGTGATGGATCGATGGAGCTATGTGCAGCTCAAGGCATATATGCTCGAACGGGAGCTGCCTGGACGCTGCAATCATGTTGCGCGCACTATCCGTGCTGAGTGTGCTGACTTTTCGTACAATGTCCCACTGTCTGGCTACCTGCATAAAGTCAAGTGCTCGGCGCAGTTGTCGGTGAAATGTCGCTCCTCTGTTTTCATTGAAACAGCTCCTTATATCCGTTAGCGCAGCTAGCTAGCACCAGATGCTAACAACAACACGTAAGGTGTGCCTCGCTCGCGCCACACATACACACACCCTCCCGATGGCCAGTCCGGGCCTGCCGGTGACCGTGGAAGTGTGGTCTGCCACAAGCGGGCGGCAGGAGCGGGGCTGTCAGCATCAGCTTGGAGATGGTATTTTAAACTCGATGCGCTCTGAAACTACGGGGCGGCCGAGGACAAAAAATACACATGCGTTAATCGCGTTAAAATAATTAGTGGCGTTATTTTTTTTTATTATTAACGCGTTAACTTGACAGCCCTAATATTTATACGTTTTCTTTTTCAAAATACCAAACAGATCATGCATTTTAGCCATGCCTCATTTCGCTCTATTTTCCTCTCCTCCACCCTGTCTTTGCATGCAGCTGACCACGCCCCCCTGCAAAGGAGGGGGCCGAGTTACGAGCGTCGTGTTACCATGCTGTTACCATGCTGTTACCATGCTGTTACCATGCCACGGCAACCTCTCATTCCCCTGATAGGTCAGCTCCTCCGTCCTGACGTCAGAGACATTTTCAAATCTGGATCAGTTTTGATCAGATCCGTTGCAGCCCCTTTTTTAGAGATTTGGGTATGGAGGAAAATAGAGAGGGTTGTGTTTTCTGACACTTGGTGAGTTCCCTGGAACACCGGGGACACATATTCATGTAGAAAAGACGTACACACGTGCATTTTGCATGATAGGTCCCCTTTCAAGAGTCCTCTCCTGCTGATGTTCAGGTGTATATCAGTATGACCTTTTTTAAGATTACTGATATTTTGACTGGAAGGCAGATGGGTTGCCATGCCGATGGTTACACACTCGGTGACGCCTGACGCCCACCTCCTCGGAGCAGGAGGGGAAACAGTTGTTTTGTGTGTATGTGTGTGTGTGTGTGTGTGTGTCGATACAACCAAATCCTGTGAATGCTACATGTGGTGAACGGTGGACACATGGTCCTGTTCCCACACACAACCTGTTGTCCCTGACACGCACACACACACACACACACACACACACACACACACACACACACACACACACACACACACACACACACACACACACACACACACACACACACACACACACACACACACACACACACACACACACACAGTGACGAGCTGCTAAAATCACTTTCTTCCTTCTCAAGCTGTGCAGGTTTTTGATTTGAATGTTCTTTTTACTGAACCATCATTAAACACCCTTCAAAATAATATTACAGAACATCATTTATAAAAATCTCAAGTACAGGATCTGAGTACTTGTCCCCTGTGTCCTCAGTGTCTCCCCCCTCCTGAGGCCTCGGATGAAACAAAGATGTGTTTGTGTTGA